CGGTGAGCCGAGCCCGCAACCTTGGGGTTGGGCGAGATAGAGCCCGTGACCAAAGGGTCAGGCGAACCAAGCCCGTGCCCAAGGGGTCGGGTGAGTCAGAGCTCGCACTCAAGGAGTCGGGCGAGTCGGAGCTCGCACCCCGCAAGACAGCAAAGGGTAATAGTGAAGTGGGGACTGTCTTGACTATGAATCTGAGGATGTTTGTGGTTGTTTGAGCACTTGGTAGCACATATTAGCTTAAGCATTGTGCCCCCCTTTATAGTACAATTTTTCCTATACTCAAATTCAATATATAAAAGAATTTAAACCTCCTTTGAGTTTCAAGCCATCTATATTTGTAATTGGGGGCTTCTCCGTTTTGTGTAGCATCCTCGAATATAAATTCCCTGCTTATCATCTCGATAAATCTCATTAGTTCTCTAATTGCGTGGACATTATCACCAAAACCCACAATTAAGGCTTGATTGCACTTTCAGAGATACATCATCATCATTGATCTTCTCACCTAAAGCCTTCAAATTATTGACAATCACTTGCAAACGATGGAACATCTTTGGAATGCTCTCGTCATCCTTCATCTTGAAGCTTGTCAAATTGTCTTTGAGGATTATAGCTTGGCACTCTTCACCACCGGTATGCCCTCATAGGTCTCCTCCAATCTCTTCCACACCTCACTAGCTCTATCAAGATCCTTGATTTGCTCAAACACCTTTGAATCAATGATATTATAGATGACGTTGAGAGCCATTATATTGTATTGCTTGTTTGCTTTGTCTTGGTTGGTGAGATTGTCGGGGTCAATAATAGCATAATCATTTTCGGTCATATCCCACACTTGATCATTGATTGAACCAATATACATCTTCATCTTTCTCTTCCAATAATCATAGCTTGTGCCATCAAAAAACGGTGGTTTGCCCCCACATGGTTGAACATAACTTGAGCCATAATTTGACACCGAGGTTGTTAAGCCTTCAATCAAATGGTGACCACGGCTCTGATACCACTTGAAAGGTCCTAATATGGCTAGAGGGGGGGTGAATAGCCTATTTAAAAATCTACAAATCAACTAGAGAAAATTGATTAGTATGACTAAAGGGGCAATATAATTTTGCTCTAGCTCTACAAAGGTTGCAAGCCACCTATCCCAATAATTCTAGTTGCTATGATCACTAGCACACACAATAGCTAAGTCACTAGTCACTAAGCTAGTGTGCTCTCACAGGCTAACTAAAGAGCCACACTAACCAAACCTACAAGCTCTCAAAGACTAGATACACTAAAGAGCTTGACAACTAGTTTGTGGGAAAGTAAATAAGAGAGTAGGGTGATTATACCGCTGCATTGAGGGATGAACCAATCACAAGATGAATACCAATCAATCACCGGGAAAATCCAAGAGACAAGTGACACACCAATTTTTCTCCTGAGGTTCACGTGCTTGCCGACACGTTAGTCCCCATTGTGTCAACTAACACTTGGTGGTTCGGCGGCTAATAGGTATCACACACCTAGCCCACCACAAGATGTGCCACAAAAACCTACCCATAAGTGAGGTAATTCAATGACACGAGTAATTTAGTAGAGCTACATTGCGGCTCTTCGCCAGGGAAGGTGCAAGACCCCTCACAATCACCGAAGCCGGCCACGAATAATCACCAACACGTGATGAAGCTCCTCCGCTGCTCCAAGCCATCTATCTAGCGTCAACCACCAAGAGAAACAAGAAATCCGCAGCCACAACGATCCCCAAGTGCCACTAGATGCAATCACTCAAACAAATGCACTTGGAATCACTTCCAATCTCACTATGATGATGAATCAATGATGGAGATAAGTAAGAGGCGTTTGCTTAGGCTCACAAGGATGTCAAGTATGTCAAAGTGCCAAGAGAGTGAGCCCTAAGCAAGCCAAACACTATTTATAGACGTCCCCTGGAAATAGAGCCCTTGCTCTGCTCACGGGCTGACCGGACACACCCCACCGTCCGATCGGCCAGCGTCCGGTCACCCTCGGCCGTCCACATGTCCTCGTTCAAACCACGGCTATCGGATCTCAACGGTCACTTAACGTTCAACGCCACAGTCAATAAGTGACCGGACGTGCAGCTCAGTGACCGGACTCCAAACCCCTCAGTGTCAGATCGACTATAGAAAGGTTCCAGAGCCAATAAAAGCTGATCGGACGCGCCCGGTCGAACGTGACCTGATGCACCGTGGTGTCCGGTCTTCACTGGCCTCCTCTCCGCGTGCGACGTCAGTGTATTTGCTTTATGCCTACGTGTCCGGATGCTTCACTGCTCCTGCGTCGATCGTGCCACCGAGCGCTGTGCCTCCACTGCTGTGCGTGACCGGACACGACTCCGCGTCAGGTCCAGCGTCTGATCGTGTTCCCTATGCTCTCGGCCAACGCTGCGCCACCTCACTAAAATTGATCGGATGTGCCGGGGTGAGTCCGGTCACCCCGCGGCAAGCGTCCGGTCATGGATTTTCAGCTCCTTTTCTTTTTTTAAGTCCATAACCGCTTTCGCCCTTGCTTCCAACTTGCTAACCACAAAGTGTAGAACTTGTGTGCACATGTGTTAGCATTTTTCAAAGCATTTTACAAGGGTTAGAAGTTAGCACACTAGGTCCCTAAATGCAATGCATGAATTATGTCACTTAGTGGCACTCGATAAACCACTTAGCCAAAGATTTTCCCTCTTTATAGTACGGCTATCGATCATAAATCACTCACACCCTCTATGGTGTCTTGAGTGCAAATAAAAAATGGCTCCTATCATTATACCTTTGCCTTGAGCCCATTTTTAGTTTTTCTCTTTCTTCTTTTCCAAATGTGAAGCACTTGATCATCTCTTTTGTGGCTATTACCTTCACCATGGCCATCATCTAGCTTCACCACTTGGGTTGGACCACCTTATCTAATTCATACACTTAGATCAAATGTTAGTCCTAAGTTTAATCAATTAACCAAAACCAAACTAGGACTTTCAAGGTCGCGTGTTGCGGTGGACACGGCCTTCCTGGCGGAGAACTACGGTAGCGGCAGCAAGCTTGGGTCGGTGGTGCGGCTTCCTACCGTGGTGTTTTTTAGCCGACCGCGGGAGATGCCCGGCCGGTGGCGACCTTCTCTTGGTGGCGCGGTGCATGTCGTGGTCGCGACAGGCGAGGCAGAGTTGGGCGCGGCGGTGGATGGGGAGCGCGGCGGGAGATGGAGCGTGGCACGGCGAGGGGTGCGGCGCGGCGCGGCGTGGGATGTGGGGGCCACACGGCGTGGGCTAGAGCGAGCGGACAACGCGATGGCGAGTAGGGAAATTTCTACTGTCTGGGAAGTTGCGTCCGGACGGACAGACCGACGAACGAACGCATCTAAGCATTATCGAAACAGGAGCCGATATTGGAAAAGCGGTGGTAACATGGTGCTAGACTGACAGTGGGCTGTTTGGCTTGACTGATCTCTCTTGGTTCTGGTGTTACCTCCCACCTCACTTGAGAAATGTATCCATATAAACTTAACCACATTTTTTCTATCTAGTATAGTAGAACAGAAATGCAGGAGTTGACTATGGGGCAAAAACCGGTGGATACGGAACGTTCCTACAGTAGGTTATACTGACGGGTAACGTGTACTAACCGTGTAGGTTTACCATCTCTAGGTACCTACTGCCCTAGCTCCTACTACAATAAGTGTTTGTTTAGTTCCTAAAAATTTTCAAGATTTCTCGTCACATCGAATCTTTAATGTATGCATGAAGCATTAAATATAAATGAAAAATAAAACTAATTACACAGTTTAGATGAAATTCACGAGACGAATCTTTTAAACCTAATTAGATTATGATTGACACTAATTGCTAAATAACAACAAAAATACTACGATATTATTTTTCAAAAAATTTCGCCACCTCAACCAGGCCTAAGCATATCCGTCACTGTCACAGCCGCAAAAGGGCGCGGATTCTTTTGACAAACGCGGGCAAGCGCACAGCAGGCTGACGACGTCTCTTGCGTCGCAAGTCTCAAGGCCAGAGACCGAGACCGAGCCCGAGAGGCCGAGCGGCGAGCGGGGCAGCAGCATGATTGGGCGAGGCGCATGTGGAGGCACATGCCATGATGAGCTGAATCCTCGCCTAGATACTACCACTCCATCAATCAGCAGCGGATCACGATCACTGCTCCCCCCCTTCTTCACCATTACTGTAATCGATAACGCACTATGCGCCTCAGATTGCTGCGAGCCTACGACTTGCATTGCATTACGGCACCGCCCAGCACGCAGCTGAATTTATGCATCATTTTTTTTTTTGATTTCATGCATCACTTGTATTGAAGCATATGCAGAGGATGCATGCAGCGCAACGCAGTGCAGTGAAGAGAGAGTTCATGGATTCGTCAGGATTTGGGTGCCAGAGGAGCCATAAATCACGCGGCTTTTAATTTGTCCTCGACGCCGAGATTCTGTCCACGGATCGATTTTAGAAGCTCCTTTTTCCTTGTTCGCAGTTAAGTTGGCCTGGTATCCAAAGTACCAAGGGCATATGTATCTCGTAGCAGAAAGCATGCATCGACTCATGAAGCGTCCCATCCAAGACTTCTCAATCAAAACACGTCGCAAGAGAAGAGACTCCAAGCACCAGCATTTGTGGTCAATGCAGCGTTGTTATATGTTCATGAGTTAAACATTGTTCAGTTTACTCGCCGCTCGCTGTTCATGAAGGCATGAAGCCCAATACCACTAAGTTCCAACATTGGCAGTAGAAAAAATGGAATCGAATCCAACTTTTTTTTTATGCTCTGAAGATGCTACCGTATACACATCAGGATGATCAAGAACTAGACTCGTCTAACCGAAGTAACCTCGAGTTCCTCCTGGCATGGCTAATGATACTACTAACTCACTACACTCCCTAGCTGACTGATGAAACCAAACAGAGAGATGAGACAGGCACAGAGCAGAGGAGGCGGGGCAGGGGACAACGCGTCGTGTGCGCAGCACTGCAGCTAGTAGGAGATCTCCATGGAGAAGTTGGAGTCTAGCAGCTCCTCGATCATCTGGTCCACGTACTGCTCCTCAAGAAACCCGCCGCTCCAGTCCCCCGCCGCCGCCGACGGCGAGGGGGCGATTCCCACGGCGGCATTGCCGGAAGGCATCGCCGCGAAGCGCGGGAGCACGGCGGGCGCCGAGGCGGTGGCTGCTGCTGCGGCCGAGGCAGCGTCGGCCTTGCCGCGCGCCGCCTGCACGGACGCGAGATTGAAGCGGTGGAGCTTGTCGACGAGCGCGGGGGAGAGGAACGACGACGTGGCCTGCTGCTGCCCGTCGCCGGTGGCGGCGTCCTCGGGGAAATTGGTGCGCACGCGCGGGCCGCACATGATGCGCGCCGCCTCGTCGTAGGCGCGCGCCGCGTCCTCGGCCGTCTCGAAGGTACCCAGCCAGATCCTCGTCTTCCTGCACGCACGCACAGAGAATCCAAGAATCACGCCGCCGCCATGGTCACTCCAAGAACCGATGGAGATAGATAGTCCAGTCCAGCCAAGAAGCACGTGGCTGCAGGGTTACGCTTACGCACAGGAGCGGGTGGCGGATCTCGGAGACCCAGGAGCCCCAGTGGCGTTGCCGCACGCCGCGGTACCGTTGCTGTGGCCGCGCCATTGGAGACGGTGGTGCCCTTGCTCGCTCGGATCGGAGGGGGCAGCCGGCAGCTGCTCTGGCCTCTGCGTGCGTTGTGTGCAACAGGGAGCAGAGGAGTGAGCCAAGCGGTTTGATGCGGCGAGCTCTGGTAGCCTTTAAATAGGGAAAAGCTTCCAAGTGGGGCCATAGGGCTTGAAGTGCAGGATGTTTGGCTGACTGTGGGCCCAGCATGAGTTGAGCATCCTTTACTTCTCTCTGTCTCCTGGGTCCCGGCCAGCCGCAAAGCAATGCCCAGCCCAGGGGAAAAGGTGTCCAGTGGGGGCAAAGATCTTCGTAATAAATGGATGAGGTCGCCGCCATAGTTCATACGGAGTAGAGATGTTCATGTGGTTTTCTCTTTTTTTTTATTACCACAGTAAAATCTAGTTTTTTATCGGCACGGTAAAATCTAGTTGTAATGCTGACACTATTATCTCTTTCCACATTTTTTCTCTCGACCATACCACGAAAAGTATATATATATATATATATATATATATATATATATATATATATATATATATATAACTTATTCTGTAGCCACTTTGAGTTACGATAATTACTATGTTAATTTATGAGATTACAGTAACTCCATACTAAGTGGTTTACTATAACGTTATGGTAAATATCTCCATGTGTTATAGTAACCCAACTATCGTAAATATGTATTGGCATTATCGTAAATTAGTATATAAAATTATCGTAAATAGAGGTGGCTACAGAATAACTTATTTTGTAGTTGCTTAATATATATTGGGAGCCTAATAGCTATAGGACGTCCCAGCCCAAACCCCTGCTGGTCCAATCAAATCAAGAAGCCAGCCAGACCAGCCATCCAACCGGACCACCCACCTAGCTCGCAGGCCCACCACCGGCCCACTCGGCCCATCAGGCCCCACCCCACCTTCCCAGGCCCTATATAACCGCCCAAACCCTAATCCCCACCCATTCACACCTAGCCGCCACCTCCTGCCCTGCGTCGACCCCTGCCCGAGCGTGCCACGCCGGCCCTGGAGCGCCGCGGTCGCCCCCTTGGAGCGCGCGCTGCCATGCCTTGGAGCACTGACGGCTGGTGCGCGATGAGGTCGTCACGCCTGGGCACTGCGACGGCGACAGCGACAGTGCCCTACAGCTCGCGGCCGCGTGCAGGGATGGATCCGACTCACGGCGACAGCGGCGCGCGGCGTACTAGGAGTGCTGGCGTCGGATCTGGCAGCGAGGCCACTGGGGCACCTCCTTGCTCTCCCCGGGCGTGCAGCCTCCTCCCTCCCGACGGCGCACACGGCGGCCCTTGGAGGCGACGCGGACGACCTCCTGGAGCCACCCGCCGGCCTCGTGCCCCGCGCCCCCTAGATCGTGGCCCCTGTCACTAGAGCGTCGCGGTCGCCCTCCTGGAGCATGCGCCGTCGGATCTATCGACGAGGAGCGGCGGCGCCCCGACTCCCCTCTCCACGGCAACGAGCAACGAGGCCGCCAGGGCTCCTCCTTGCTCTTCTCGGGCGGCGTCCACTTCCCCTTCCTCTCCCCACCAACGGCGCATCCTGCATCTTGGCCGCCACGCGCCTGTGGCGAGTGCGAGACAAGGCTAAGGGACTGAGACAGCAACGGCGCCCTGGAGCTCATGGCCGCGCACAGGTACGTCTACGGCGGACGGCAACGGCAGCGCGCGGCTAACGAGGAGCAGCGGCGGCTAATCTGGTGAAGGAGACAGCGACAGCAGGCGTGCGGTAGGGCAGCTGCGAGCTCGGCCACGTTGACAGTGATGGGGCGCAACGAGGACGACTACGAGCTCGGCCGCGCGGACGGTGACAGGAACCAGGCGGGTGAGGAGCAGCCAGGCGCCGTTGGATCTGGCGGCGGGGAACGGTGGTGCCCTGGCTCCCCTCTCCACACGATGAGCAGCTAGGCCACCGGGACCGCCACGACGGACGACGGCGTCGTGGCGGCCACGGGGACTGCTACTGCTTCGCGGTGGCCGCGCTGACGGTGACTGCGTCGCGTCGGCTCGCTACCTAGCGGCCTGGGAAACTTCAGGACAGGGCCTGGCGGCCTGGGCAGCATCAGTAATCTAGTTTTTTTGCTTGCAAGCATAGGTTTTTATGCATGGTGAAACAGTGATTCCGAAGATGTTGGATGATTTCTATGCTTAGTTGCATAACTTTCCACACAAGTTGAATTTATCTTCATTGTTTTGTTTGTTGATTTTGTGTTCCTATACTTCAGTGTATAAGTTTCTATACATGGCTAAACTGTAACTTGGTATACATTGTTGGTATACTATACATTGTTGACGCATAATTCTATACAATGTTTGGAGCAGTTTCTATGTGGTTTTTATGCAGTAACAAAATTATTTTTTATTCATCGAACTACTAATTTCTATGCAATGTCGGCGCCAAAAACATTTATGCGCATCTTGACTATTGATTCTACGAATCTGATCGTCCATTACGTGCTATTTTTCAAATTTCAAATTTTGGAGAAGATGAGATCATCTCCATGTTTTACGCTTTGTGGTCTCCATGTTCTATGCATTGTTCCCATGTTAATTACACACCCCTATAGTGGGAAGCAAGATTGTCAGGTATCGATATTAGGGATACCCAAAGCAAGGAGGTTAGCATCCACGCTGACTTCCCCGGATGGAGCAAGACGTATTAAAAGGTCTCGCCCGACCCCAAGGCCGTGGGCTCCATCTCGCCCGACCTCAAGGCCGCGGGCTCCGTCTCACCCGACCCCTTGGGTGCGGGCTCCGTCTCGCCCGACGTCGAGGCCGTAGGGGTCTCACCCAAGGCCACGGGCTCTGTCTCGCCCGACACCAAGGCCACGGGCTCCGTCTCGCCTGACCCTAAGGTCGCAGGCTCTGTCTCACCTGACCCGAAGGCCGCGGGCTTTGTCTCGTCTGACGGGGACCCATACCACCGCCAACCACTCCAGGTCCAGGTGTATGGGCCTAGGTCAAAACTCTGACACTAGGGAAGAGACTTGCATGCCTCAATGTAACCCGTGGCCTTGACGGGCCATACCTAAGGATTCACATCAAGAACAGTGTTGGGCGTGATGGTGTTGTTCTGCCTAACCCTCGTACGAACACTGACATGCACGACAGTTCACCATGACGTCCGCCGGGACAGAATGGAACGCCATGACCGGCAGATGACGCCTACGCATGGTGCCAGGGACGAACAGGGCCACGACATGGAGCCATCCCTGATGACATCTACAGGATTGGTGGGGCTCGCATGAAGGAGAAGAAGGACCCGACGATCCTGGAAGCCTTTCTTGATGTGACCACGTCAGCGTCGGAGACCTCGGCGACCACTCCGACCACCTCTCCGACCACTCCGGGAACCTCGACGACCACTCCGACCACTTCTCCGACCACTCCGATCACCTCTCCGACCACCTCGGTGACCTCTCCGATCACTTCTCCGACCTCGGCAACCTCTCCGACCACCTCACCAGCTGATACACCCCTTCAAGTCCCTACTGGACCAATCACCCGTAGCCGCGCCAAAAAGATACAACAAGAGGTGCACGCGCTACTTTGTGAATTTCAATTAAACATTGATGGTAATTTTGAGCTACCTAAGTCGTGCATGTTGTTATTACTCAGGTTCTCCGAGAAGGAAGACAAGGATACATCAAGGATGGATCAGAGAGAAGAACTGGGCGTTCGACCGCTTTTTAGTGAAAGAGCTGCTCCAAGCTCAATAGTCTGCATGAAGCTAAAGAGCCCGTGCAAAAACTGTACCATTCTACAATAATTCATGGAAGGAGTTATGACCAAAACATTAAAGACTGCCCAGAAGCCCAGAAGACACGTGGAAACTGAAGACCACTTCGTGAATGCTCTAGTCCTTCCACCTTCCAACGTGGCTTCTTCAGTTCACATCTATCTTAGAAACTTCTCATAGTATAAATACCACCTCTAGGCTACTAGAAAAGGACTTTTGAATGATTTGATAATTCCAGTGATATTGCAGCCGAGCTGCCGAGTGCTTACTCAAACCCTTGTTCTTCCTTGTTCTTCCTGGACTTGTGAAGAGATTCCTCTGGGATCCACTAGTTCGTGCTTTGCGGGTTCCAGTACGGCTGCCCTGCCTTGTGTGGATTAGCTCCGGTCGTGGTTCTGCGGTCGTTCGGAGATCGAGTCGAAGTCATCATGGTTTCGGTGTCTCTCTCTCCCCGTCGCTTGGTCACGTCCAACCTTGGTAGGTATAAAGCTAGTTATCCTCCGCTGTTCGCAGCAAGTTATCTTGTGATTTCCAACCTACTGTCGTGAAGATCGGGCCACCCCGAGGAGGTTTCCATCGATACCTTGCTGTTGGTGATCTCCGACCCTTATCATGTGGTATCAGAGCTCAAGTTGACACGGTAGGTCTTGCCATCATCCACATCGTTATCCTTGTTTAATCTACTTCATATATTTGTGTTTATTCATATCCTATAGCCCAAAGCCACAAAAGAAAAAATACATATAACCATTCCTCGGTACTGTTATGTTGTGTTTTGTGTTCATCGAGTTGCTAGTTACCACCGTTCATATAAAAAAATTGAGTTATTTTATTCGTTACCGCTGTCAGTGTCATTAAAAAGAGATCAAAAAAAGAGAGAGAAGTAAAAAGAAGTTGAAGGATCTATGTTGCGGTGTATTGCTGAAATTTTTAGTTTACATATTTGAGTTGGTGGTAATCTTGTTAGCAGCAACATCGTGTCTTTGAGCACATCAAACCAATCGGTTAGCAATACCATAGCCCTCCTTGTTAGCCACCTATAGCTCCACCAAAACCTGAACCGGGACGTTCGATTCGTAATCCTTACGACCTCTCTACCACCTCCGTTGAAGCTGCCACACCAGCACCGTCATGGTCCTTGAGAACGAGCAAGAACTTGGGTAAGTAAGAGGTGATATTGTGTGTTTCCACAAATTTACCTATTCCACTTTTTCTTGCAACTGGTCTAACATGGTATGATCCAAT